ATATATTAATAAATATGAACATATATTCAAGTAATATATATATAAATATATATATTAAATTTACTTACCTTGACGACAATTATCATATCCTTGATCACTTGGAGCTAATTAATGAGTAAATTAAGTAAATAACCTTGATTAGATTAGAGATTGGAACCGTTCAGATTAATCGATCGGTCAAAAAATTTATGACGGTTAAAATTTGTATTTGGAAGAAATTTAATAATTTGATTGGTTGATTGTCATGTAATTTTAACCGGTTCCAATCTCTAGATTAAACAAATTAAAAACATTAATATACTAACGAAGTTTGCTTGTAATAAAAAAATCTTCTCGTTTTAAATTCAATGAAGTATCCTTGATTAATTCATTAATAACTTTCCCTATAGTTTCTTCATTCCTGTATCCAATTGCTGAATCTGCATAAAATGAAAAAAAAAAAAATAGATTATATAAAATGCATCTATGGTGTTCAACACCAAACGCTTTTAAATATTTTTTTAAAATACCGATTTGTCTGTAACCACACGAAACTGCAGTTCTTACTACAAATTCTACAGTTTCGGGATCTTTTATACGAAATGTACCGACTTGAAAAAATGTAAGAATATTTTAACGAATTATCAAAATATAATTAATTATTTATTTATAAAAGCTTACGGCCAAGAGCAGGAATTGTAATTCCATTATTGAGAATAAACTTTGGAATTAAACTCATTTTTTTTTATGTATTGCACATTTGACAGAATGTTCATGTAATATATATCTGATTCAGATTTCATGATAACCACGTGCCGATAAAATTTTTTTTTTTTTGATATTACTGTATTAGAATATCGCGTAACAAGATAATTTTTTTTTTTTAAAAAAAAAATGCATGGTTTAAATTTACGAACAAAAGTACAAATATTCAATCGACTTCTTTATACAGACTTTAAAACCATAAATACTATTATTACACAAACAAAAAAACCTTTTAGAAAGTATTTTCAACCTTCATATACTTTTTCACGAAATATTTTCGATATTTCGTTACCAAATAAAAATGAATTTATACAAGCTTTACGCAAACAATCGTTTGATACTGAACCTGTTAATACAATTAAAAGAGATAAAGCGGATAAACACAAAAAAGATACTGAAGCTGCGAAAGTAAGGTTCGTTTTGATTTTGTTTATAATAAAAATTTTTATAATATAAAAAGTATTTTCAAATTAAATTTCATACATTATTTACGTTTTTTTTTTTTTTTTTTTTAGGCATTTAATAAAATTAATGAGACAGAATTTTCACGATTCGATAAATTACAAACACTTGAATTTTACAAAAATCTCAATAATTCGTACTCTTTAAAACGTTTTTATTTAAATTTAATCACCTGTTTGTTACGTCAATGTGCAAATCATGATAGATTGGATTTAGTTGATCTTATATTTAAACAATTTGTTAAAGATATTGAAAACAATCCAAATAAACATTTGATAGGAATATCTACTATTAATGTTTGGAATATGTTTGCTTCTATTTATTATGAAAGAGGATTATCAGAAGAAGTTGAAATTAGTAAGTTAATCGTTGATAATTTATTATTACTATATAATAATATATAATAATATTTATTTATTTATATATATATATTATTTATTTATTTATTTATTTATTTTATTTATTTATATTTTTTATTTATTTAAATAGTGTTTAATTCAATGTCTAAATATACCGTTTCACCTAACGCGAAAACATTTTCGATATTAATTAAATCCATGGCAAAATCCAAAAATCCCGATTATTGCTTTACAATTATAGAAAAGAGCATTATGAAAGGTTTAAAACTCAAATCTGGAACTTTAAATATATTACTTAATTCATGTCTATCTTCACAACAACCTTTTAATCAACAACAACAAAAAAGTATCAATATCATTCTTGATTTAATGTCTCATTGGAATGTAGGTCCTAATGGAAAAACTTTTGAAATATTATTAATACATTGTAGAGATTTTGATAATTTAGAAAAAATTTGGTCAAATATTGTAAATCTTGGATTTCATAATGATCAAACTTTACATATAGAAATTATCAAAACTTGTTTAAGACTGTCATCATCATCTATTAGATCAAGAAAAGAAGGATTATCAAAATGTTTTGATTATTTGTTACGACTTAATCGTATTTCACAAGGTGAACTTGCAATTGGAGCATATAACATTTTTTTGAAATCATGTGCTTATCATAATGATCTTATTAGAGGAATAAGAGTGATGGAAATGATGTGGTCAAAAAATTTAGAACCTCAATTTAAAGGTTATAATAATTTACTTAATACAATTCGAACAATTACTTTTCAAAATATTTCATCATGTAATTTAGCACAACGATCGATGATCAATAATATATGTCGAGAATATTTATGGATAATATTGAATGGAATGTTTTCATTTCCAAAAACTAGAACGATGCCAAGACGATTAATAAATTCCATAATTTTAACACTTGGAAGAGTTGGTGATATAAGAGGATTAATAGAATTTTATGAAGCTAGAATAAATTTGGAAAATTTAAATAATGAATTAAATGTGGTAAATCAAACTATTAGTAATATATTTGCAATGAGAACAGATCATATACCATTAGATATTTCATTTTTTAATATATTTTTAAAGGAAATTTCATCTTCTTCGAATCAAATAGCATCTTTAGAGATGTTTGATAGATTACCAAATTATATTGAACCAAATAATGATACGATTGAATATTTGTTTTTTTCTATAAAAAATTCTTTAGATTTTAAAAAATTTGGTTCACAATTTTGTGAAGCTTTAATTCGACAAAGAACAAATGTTGATTCAGAATTAATGAAGGGTATATTTCAAAGAATGTATCAAAGAATTGTTGGGCATAATAGAGATTTTATAGGGGAGGTTGATATTAATGAATTTTATTGGGTTTATGTTTCTGGATACATAGCACGTGAAATCATAAATGTTTATAATGGTCAAGATTTAATAGAATGTTTAAAGACGTTAAAAATGTTTGAAATAAAATCAGAAAGTTCATAATAACTATTCATTCTTAAATTAATTAACATGTGTTAATGCATATCCAACTTTCTTATTAGCGATGAATATCTTTATCTATTTTTATCTAGCATTTCGATTAAACCCAAGTCTATCGTCCAAACCCAAACTAAAATGAATATTATGCATAGATAATGTGTGAATATAACTTCTTTATTGAGAAACGAAAAATATATAAGAAAAATACTATTTACTATATTAATTAAAGTTTCGGTCCATATATAAAAGTTTTTTTAGGATGCTTGTTGCATTCGAGATTCATTAAGTTTAACAATCTATAAAAAATTTACATTTAGTTAAAAGATTTAAATGAAAACGATATACAGTAATGATTTACCTCAAGTTTCTTCTTTTCAAGTTTTTCTGTTAAATCCTTGACCTGAGTCTCCACTCGTTTACTATAAAAAAAAAGATGGAATTCAAATAAAAAAAACTTTGGTACTTACGATTTTGTAAGTGAATTATGATATATATATATATATATATATATATTTGAATTGAATAACTGATACTATGGATCAAATGATTCTATTCTCTCGAACTAATCCAATATGCAACAATAAAAAAAAAATAATAATAAAAAGTAACAAACATGTCAGTTTTAATGCGCTCTAAACGTCTCGCAATATTTTCGGTGGCTTCGGTTTTCTCTTGTTTTACTAGCACGGGACCAATAAGTTTATAAATATTTGAATCATCTTTTAAAAAGCCGAATTCCTATTAAAATTAACCATCGATTTGAAAAAGAATTCAATAGAAATTTAAAAGTTTTAAAACAAAATATAAAACCTTTTGAACAATTTCATTCTCTTGTAACTGAGAATTAAGTTTTCGCAGGTCTTCATCAGTTGTAAATTCTAGTAAATCTACCAAGATTTCTGACTTTTCCAAATATAAAAAAGACACCAATTAAAATACCTCGCGAGTATTTTCATATAGTATTTAATGGTTGGAGAGACCGGTACTCTAGCAGCTATTGATGGTAAAAATTTAATTATCTTCTTTCCTGAAGAAAATTATCGTTATCGTTATTGTATTAAATGGCGTGGAAAACCGGTTTTTATTAGGCATAGAACAATTGCTAATAAAACTCTATTAAATAAAAAGTGATTCCGAAAAAGTTAAAAAACCTGAATGGCTTGTTCGTATGTTCATTCAATTCATATAAATTTCTTGTTTTGTTTAATTTTTATATATTAATTAATATGTTCACAGGGTGTATGCACTCATTTAGGTAATATCTCGTTGTGTATATATATATGCTGTGTGTATATACAGTATATACGTATTATATATTATTAAGCTCATATTGATATTTTTAGATTGTATTTAGACGAAGCTGGTGATTTTGGAGGTTGGTACTGTCCATGCCATGGTTCCCACTAGGATATATCTGGTAGAGCTCAAAAAGGCCCTGCTCCAACTAAACTACGTAACTAGATGTCTTTAATTAATTAGTTATTATTTATGTCGATGACTTAACCGTTACTTGGGAAATCCCTGTTTTTTTTATTATCTCATGGTTATGATATCATGATGTCAATTTTAAGGATAATGCAACACTTCAATCAACATGCTTTTTTAATTAAAGTCATACTTTATTTGGTTAGAATACTTTCAGAATCCCATTATTTATGTACACACGTACTCGTTTTTTTTTTTTATCATAAACTTGTGAAAGAAAAAATAAAAAAAGTATAATAACGCGTTAAATTAACGAAATTTAGTTAGTGTTAAATGCTAACGTTAGGAATAAAATGTGTAAATTTAAAACGACTTCCAATCCAAATTACCGGTACCTAAAGAAAATATCAATCAAGTAATGTACCGTAAAAACAATGCAAAACAAATCTTGATTTTTAACTCCCTTGCTTGTACTCCCCTTGATTTGTACCCTTGATTTATACTATATTTTTAAGAGACCTGTTGCTTTTTTAATAGACCAAGAGTAGAGATGTTAATGAAACATCTTGGTAAAAAACATATCAATTCCTTTAAAATACCTCGTATAATATCAATATACTCATTATCATACTGTATAGTATATTCGGGAGATATAATCAAATTTTGGTCATGTGTAATCTGAACTTGAGAATAGCCCGAGTTAGAACGATCCAATTTATTATTGAAATTAAAATTTATAAAAAGTTGATTTCAATTTCTACTTTCTAATGCTCTTTGTTAACAACCATTTGTATTATCTCCCCTAACGAAACCAATTGATCATTTTAGAATAAAGATATGAAGTTCGAGTTTATTTTGTGTTAAGCATCAAAATTCCAATTGTCTTAAATATACATATTTGAAGAGCCTAATATCCGTGACACTAAGTCATCATATTATATTTTGTAATTTTATCGATATCATATTTGTAAACATGAACTTTTCGATTTGTCACTCGATTGTAAGATACCCAATACACATCAAGAAATACACGATACGGGATTTCCCTGCTGCTCACGTGGTCAACGATACAATGTTTATAGGATCGTCTTATCTATTTCCCGCTAACTTATTTATACAATTAATTGCCTATTCGATATCCGACTTGTCCAGTCGGGCTATCGAGCTTCGGAATTGATATCTGACCTGTTCGGTCAGGCTACCAAAGCTTATTCTGACTACCAGAATTCCGGTGGTGGGTGGGAAATTACTACAAAGCTAGACTTTCGTCGAGCTAGCAGCAAAGACAAGAGGAGGATCTGATACCTATTCCCTCCGCTCTAAATAACTGTCAATAGATGACATAATACTTACATAGCTATACCTTCATTTTCCATTACTTCATACTTATGTTAACTTTACTTCACTGATCCATCACTTTCTCATACTTACCATAATCAGTAATTCACGATTCGTATTGAGTGGGGTTATGATCTCGTGACAAATGGATGCCTCGTGACTTCGTTCACGGCATCTCATTTATGATTAACTACGCTAACGATTAACGTAGCTAGAATTGATCGGGCTACGACTTGAGCCGGATTAAGCCATGACTTGAGTGTAGCTTAAGCCATGGCTTAAGCCGTGACATAAGCATGGTTCAGATACATCTCCCTAGTTTAACTTCGTCCATGCTTTTGTGATAACTATCTTCATTAAAAAATTTTCTAAACGTAATTTTGTTATATTATAATCTATTTCTAACTATAACCCTTACCTAAACAAATTCAGTCCTTATTTTTAATTATTGCACGTTTTCTTTTTTTTTCCCCCCCTTTCTACATTTGCATTCTCCAATTGACCTTTTCCCTTTGTTTCGCTTGTAAATTCAATTTGTTTTACTTGTATACTCAATTGGCTCGGGCAAAGGCGCAAGCATGCCACGACTGATCAAACTATATTTCAGCCGGCTAAGGCAACCAGCTGATATTATGTCAACCGGCTAATATGGCTTATATAGTATAGAGAAGTGAAAAATATCAATTTGCAACTATAATATATGATTATTGTGAATAAGAACTTTGTAAATTAACTACGTATTAAAACTCGAATAAATTAGTTGCACAACCAAAATTCAGCATATCCGGTCGGAATGCCCAAAAATCACTAAAAATTTTGCTAATAAATAAATTCATAGCCCACTCACTAAGTAAAGCTGCCCAGATGTAGTGTTTGTACCCGGGTAAAGATTTTTGCTTGAATAACATACGTAGTAATTCATCCGGGTCAACCCGGGTATTTAATAATACCCGGGTAGTGATTTTCTCAACGGGTACAAACT